CAGCGTACTGTCTGAAAACACTTGAAATATATATCAAAAGCTCATTTGGTTGGAAAATTATAATATATCTCTCTCTAATGCATAAGTTGCAACGTTTGCGTGAAGTATTATATGGTGCAGCACGCAATAACACTCTCCATTTGATGTCGTAATCGATGTTATTGTCTTTTAATGACCAAGCGTATTTACTGAGCTCTGTTGCGTTTCTCAATGATTGGTTGCGTAGCGATGCAGTGTGGTTTCTGTACCGGGTTTTCAATTCATTTCCTGTTAGTCCCACATATGTTTCGCACTTGTTGTTGTCTTGCCGTCTGATATTAGCTTGGTAAACCAAGGCCGATTGTAAACAATTTCCTGAACAAAAAGTAGTTTTAAAGAAAACAACAGATTTGTCAAGATATATGCAAACTCAATCTATTCCTTCATGCCAATCTTGGTTGTGACACCACATCTCGACTATTCAGAATTGGGAAGGGAGATTCGCTTAAGAAGTTTGTCACCAGTCACCTGTTTCAGGAGAAAGCTGAAGTGGTTAACTCTACTTTTGCTTCAGCTGATCATGCTGGCTTAAAGGCTTTGGTGTGTCTTCACAATTGCAAACCCGATGAAGAAGTTGATCCGCTTCGATATTGATGTTTCTGTGAACAGGCAGAAAAGTCTTCACAAGTATAGCCACAATCATTACTTCCAACATCGGCAGCAGCCAAGAAACCACAGCCTTCACGTATACTTTCAGGTAAACCAGCGGAAAGGTGAAGGTGAATCTTTGTTACCTGAAGAATAGGACTGGATACCAGCAATAGAAAACTAATTCCTGTCATTACTGATTTACAGCCTGCTCCAGAAAGGTTTTTTCGCATAGTAAGGTGCTACTGATTGTAGCAGCCTCAGATGTACCTGCAGAAAGCATGATCTTCAGTGATCCCCTGTCTCTGGGTGTATAGTTTCTCTTGATATGGATGATAGTGGTGTCGAATTGTAAAAATACCTGAACATTGAACTAAATCTACAGCAATGACTTAGTATATGTATCACCATGAACATAATACTCTTGGGAGGTAATCAAATCTTTATTGTTGTACTCTAATGACTTTCATTCAGTGTGTAGCCAAAAGTGAAATTTGTAAAAACACTACACACCGGATTAATAAGTAAGACAATTTATTAAAACAAGCCAGCACTAAAGAAATAAAATACATGCATTGACATAACTACTATTGGAAAGATTACACAATAAAAATACACACTACAAATGTGGGCAAGGGGTCACCTTTCAAAACTCCCACTGGTGATCATTGGGCAAAGGTGTTCATAAATTGCCATGCCATACAAAGGAAAAGCCAGAAAGTGGGCGTTCTTTCTTGCAATGGGGTGACAGGATGAAGTCCTTTGCATAACAATATATGATTTAAATTAAATTCCAAGTAAATATGCAATATTTTAATATTAGTGTTGCAGTTAAAGTTTTGAAACAGATCAACATTATTACTAATACTTCATATCGTGTCATAAAAACCAATATAAAGGGGCATAATTTTGGCGCGATGTATCGTGGACATAGTTATGGAACATATGGATTGGTAAATAACTGCATTGCCATGGAAACAACACTAAGCGTGGGGGGGGCAGCTGCCCCCTGAGTTTGGGAGTTTAAAAACAAAATTAAAATAGAAAAGTTTCGAGCAACCACGTATTTGGTTTGTACGATTTGAAATAAAACATTGTAAGCCAGTTGCGTGTACTTTGTTTATTACTGAGCTCGTTGACACTTTGACGCACAGTGAGGTCAAACGTTACCTTCAAGTATTTCTGATTGACACGTCAGCCATGTCAGCTTCGAGAAACGTTGCACACAACTGTCAATGTGAAAAAACTCCCATTGAAAAAAGAATTTGTAATTTGTGTTCCCAAAATAAAATAGAAGATGAAGTTCACTTCCTTTTAGAATGTGATCAGTACAAATATATTAGACATGAAATTGCTCACAGAAATTACATTAACTAATGCAGGAGATAAATTGAGTAATTTTATATTTTTGATGAGCAACAAGGACTCCAAGGCAATTAAATGTATGGGGACCTATCTACTTAAAGCCATGGAGTACAGAAAACGTTAACGTATCTATTTATATTGTATTGTAATTGTGTTGTGTATGGACATATTTATTGCTTTTTACCAAAAGAAATATTGTAATTTCTAAGGATGCAATAAAATTTGATTATTATTATTATTATTATGTTGAATTTTTATAGTACAAGCAGTAACGCGAGGAATACCAGTATGATTGATGTATGACGTCGCCATCACAGTATGTATGGCAGTAAATTCAACTGAACGAAAAATCAATCACACTCGCCACAATCTGATGATATAAATCATTTAAATTACGGCTTCTCTCTTTTTGGAATACATGTATGTGGTGGCCCTGAAAAGGGGCGTTTAGTTTGGTTGCTATGAAGCCACTAATCAAGCTCGATCACTTCTTTATGATCTTCTTAGTGGTCGATATTCCACAGGGT